CCCTAATTCCTTTCTTATACTCTGTTTTTTTCCTCAATATTTTCTGTTCTGAAGGCATACCTTCCCATTTTTTTTCCTAGCCTGCTGGTTTTTTCCCTTTCAAAGTTGTGCTAATGTGGATTGAGCTGTACACACTTGTATTGATGACCCATAGTACTCTGTATCCTCTGCTGTAATCACTTATGGAGGTAGAGAATATAAAAATGAGAATCTATTGTGCTTTTTAAAAAATACCAGAGTATCGTTTTTATAAAATGTTTAATGATTTACTGTCTAAAACATTTCTGGGTTCTGTGGAAAGGCAGTGTAATAGTAGTCTAAACTTGTATTGTCTTATTTGGTGATTTTTGTTTTATTACCTGATAAAAATAAACATTTTGTGTTAAATTCTCTTTCAGAATATCGAGGAAATGAATGCTTTTGGCAAATCAGAATTAGAGAAAACTATTGAACATTTGACATGTGTTAATCATAAGGTAATTGATCAAACTGGATTTGGGGTATTGTATTATATGAAAGTGTCAATTTTAGCTTTAATACAATGGGGTTTTTTTGTGTGTGTTTTTAAAATTTTTTTAAAGTATTTATTTATTTATTTGGTACAGGGTCTCACTGTGCCCCTTGAACTCGTAGTGATCCTTTTATCTCAGCCTTCCCAGCACTGGGGTTACAGGCCTGTGCCACCAGGCCTGGTTTCAGTGGTCAACTTGGTACACCCAGGGTTCCAGGGCCAGTATGGCATGCCATACCAGGGATCAAACCTAGGTCCTTGTGCTTGCCAGACAGGCACTTACACTGCTGAGCCATCTCCCCAGCCCAATACACTGGCTTTTTAAAATTACAAAATATGCCAGTGAAATTATATAGAAATGACTAGGACTATGTATGCTAAAGGCTGATTACTTAGGTTCAGACCTGTCTATCTCCTTGATATCTATAGACAAAGTCACTTGACCTTTCTGGCCCTGTTTCTTTAGTAGAATTAGTACTTCTGGGGGTTTTTGTGAAAATTTAATAGGTTAATAATACATGTAAATAATTTAGAAGAAAGAGCACCTAGCATATTTTAAGCAGTAATTATTGTAGCTTTCATCTTATAAAAATAATTATAAAATGTACACACATGGAGTAAAAAATGAAGTTCATTGTCATTCTTCATTACTGTCCTCCCTCAATATCCTTGGAGGATTGGATCCAGGAAGCTCCTAGATAGCAAAATCCTAGGATGTGCAGGCCCCTGTATAAAATGGCATAGTGTTTACATATAACCTATTCATGTCCTCCTGTATACTTTAAATCATCTCTAGATCACTTATTTCTAATCCACTATAAGTGCTATATGAATAGCTGTCCTGTAGTACATAGGGAATAGTTATAGGAAAAAAGTTCTATACGTGTTCAGCACACATGCAACCAGCATAGATGTAACTTTGTAGTTAGCTGAATCTGCTAAAGTAAAGCCCATGGATGTAAAGGGAGAGCTATACTCTGAGGTAACATTTTTAATAATTTTGAGTGCTTTCTGACAGTCTTTTTCTATTTTGTTTTGGCTACTTTCTATCACTGTTTTTCTCCTCATCATGGGTTATATTTGCCTGCTTTTTTTGGATGCTGAGTAATTAGAGATGGTACTCCAAGCATTGTGAATTTTACCCTATTGATTGATAGTGTGTATTCTTATGAGTATTCAATTTGTTCTGGGATGCAGTTAAAGTATATGAAAGTAGCCTGATCCTTTTTAGTCTTCTAAGCTTAGGTAGAACCAAAGTGACATAGTCTTTTTTAAAAAAATTTTTAAAGAGAGTACTAAATGGTATTAAACCAAAAAAATTATAAGTGATACAGAATTTCACTTAAAGTAATGAATTTCACAGTATTTGTTGTAATACATAGTGTTGTCTTCCAGCCAGTTATTCCTCTTACCAGATATATGTATATAAAATTGGAAGAAGAAAGAAAAAAGAAAGAAGGGTATAAGAAATTAAGAACAGAAAAAGGACAAATAATTGAAAAAAGGAGACAGAACAAATTATTATCTGCTCCTTTCTGTAGACCAGAGGAAATGCACAGTACAGTTGTCCAAAGTATTCTGATTACATACATAGATATATCTCTTCCCCCATTCCTTCTCTTGTCGCTCTCCTCAACTCAGTAACTCTTCTTTTGAATAAGTTCATTCCCTTTTCCCAGTATATGTTATACCCTTAACATATAGTCTTGAACTAATTTTATTTCACTGCTGAGGTGAAGCCTTTTTCAGTAGGCTACCTGCTGTCAAAATGGTAAGATGTTTGAATGAGCAGTGGGAGCAGGTACTATTCCTGGCTTTACTTGAGCCTTGACTTTGTTCCTTCCACTTCCTGATGGCTCTCTCCTTGACCTTGTTGCTTAGTTCTCTGTGCTGAGGTCTGGATAATCAGCTGTACCGATCTCAGGAGCTTTCACTCTGCAGTTCTTATCCACCATCTTCTTTGCAATTTCTTCACTCTGTCATTCCTGCCTTTTGAGCTTGAGGGGACCACCAGTGTTCATCCAGCCTCCTTTTCCTGTGCTCTACTCTGCAAGTTTGCCAGGCATTGCACTGTGCCCATCATGAAGCTTACCTCATTTGCTTTTCATCTCAGGGGGGGGTCTATGTCTATCATTGTCTTGAAAACCAGTTTTTCTATAGTTAGTCCTTGTTTTAGTTATTTCAGGCAGGAGAGTCAATCAGATCCCTATCACTCCAGCTTGATCAGAACCTGAAAGCTAGAATGCACATCTGAAGAAAGTAGTGCTTGTCATTGGAATGAAACTAGAAGATAGGAAATACAAAAGATGTTAAAAGGTTAGAGCATAAAATGGTAGGATCTACTCTCTGTTTAGTTGAATATGAACATATGCTATATAGTTTGAGGACCATATAATAGAATATGTAGGAGAGGTGTATTTAAAGAAGTAATGACTGATTCCTTTACTAGACATTATGAAAACA